TTCATAGCAGCAAAAAGGTGCCCAACTTGACAGATGAATGAATTATAAAAACATGGTGTGTCCATACAATGGAATATTCTGCAGCTTTAAAAAGGAAAAAAATTCTGACACGTGGATGAGCCTTGAAGACCTTATGCTAAGTGACTTAAGCCAGTCACAAGGACAGATACTGCATGATTCCATTCGTATGAGGTACTCAGGGTAGTCAAATTCACAGAGACAGAAAATAGAAAGGTACTCAGCAGGGGTTGGGGGACGGGGGGGGGGGGGAACAGGGAGTTACTGTTTTAATGGGCGCAGAGTGTCAGTTTGGGAAGCTGAGAAAAGTTCTGGAGATGGACAGGGGTGATGTCTGCATAACAGCGTGAAGTACTCGATGCCACTAAACTCTACAGCTAAACATGATTACGACAGTAAGGTTTATGTTATATATATTCTGTCACAGTAAAAACAGTAACAGCCAAAAAAAAAAACACATCACATTTTCTACAAATATAGTGCATTTGCTTCCCCATTTAGAGGCAACCTGATACTAAAGATGTCAGAGCTGCTATAAACCTGGAAGCAGAGCCATTCCCATGTTTTCCTCATGTAGCCCTCTCCTTCACATTTTAAGAGGGAAAATAAACATTCATCAGTTCCTTCTGGCACATCTTCTTGTTCTTAGAAACTTCAGCCTCTGATGCCAATAAAGACTCTTTCAAACTAAACGGCCTTTTCATTTGCCTGGGTGGACAAAGGGTTAAATAAAATAAGCCACTGGATTCTTGCCCCTAGCATCCCTGGAGGCTAGGAGTGTCCTACCAGCTCCTCAGTCCTTATCTGGCAGAAAAATTCTGGGTTCCTTCGGGAGAAGCAGGAAACATAAAAGGGAAAATACATCTAACTGTATTTAGTAATTTCCAATCATTTGCAAATCACTTCCTTCTCAGCAACCATCTCAGCATTTGAAGGCTGACCTAAAGCAGTCTTTGGATGCAAACAGACAAAACTTCCTACAGAAGAATACTTTAGGAGCTCTGTATTCTAGCTACATTTGTTATGGGTTACCACACTGCTCAGATGGGAAACGATCTTTGCAAATGGGGATGAGGCTCCAAACGCTGCTGGCAGAGGCAGCAAATCTGTACTGCTATGGACTGAATTGTTTCCCCCCAAATTCATATGTTGAAGCCCTAACCCTCGATGTGACTGCATTTGGAGATAGGGCTTTTAGGAGGTAATTAAGGTTAAATGAGGTCATAAGGGCAGGGTCCTAATCCAACAGCATCAGTGGCCTTCTAAGAAGAGGAAGAGAAGGGAACTCTCCATAGATACAGGCTGAGGAAAGGGTATATGAGCACACAGGGAGAAAACAGCCATCAGCCAGCCAGGAAGAGAGCTCGCACCAGAACCCAGGCTGATACCCTGATCTCAGACTTCCAGACTCCAGAACTGTAAGAACATAAATGTCTCTTCTTTGAGCTACCCAGTCTATGGTATTTTGTTATGGCAGCCTGAGCTAACTAAGACAAAGACCTTCTGATTTCAAAGTGAGTATATCAGGGGAAAAAAAAGACTGGCGTCTCAGTGGTTACCCTCAGGGGAGAGTAATGACTGGTGGAAGCCACAAGAGGGCTTTCTCTGACACTCACAATGTTCTGGTCCTGGATTTGGGCAGTTACATGGTGCATTCAGTCTGTGCAAGTTCATCAAGCTGTACATTTATATGTGGAAAAAAAGAATCTGTGTGTGTAAGTATGTAGCCATAAATGATAAAGCTGGAATTAATCTCCCCGAGGGCAGGAGCTCTGCTTTGCTCACCACTGCAACCCCAGTGCTTAGAACAGGAGGCCATGCACTCAGTAAATATCTGTGAATAAATGCATGAATGAATAAAAGTATCTCTATACCAGAAAAGCTTCCTGAGGGGTTCCGTTAAATAGGTCCTTTGTACATACACTACACAATACCTGCAGATTCTAATTATATTCAATCAACTAGGCAAGGAAAACTATCCTACGTGAAAGAATTATTTGAAATGATTCTCAAGGAAATTTCCTACAGCCCAAGTGCACACGTTCTGAGCACGCGCTCCCCCTTCTGAAGCACTCACAGCCAATGTGCTGTCACATCTGCCTCACCGGAAGTACCGTTTCCAAAGGTGACTTGCTTTTCATTTACTGTGGCTACTCCAATAACAAAAATGATGTGTATTAAGGAGACTGGCCTACAGTCCAAGCACCTCATCACTACCCTGCATAAGGCAGCTGGGTGACCTCTCTGAGCCCCAATGTATTCATTTTGAAACCCAAAGATTTAGGAACAATGTTTTCTTACAGCTCTAAAATTCCTGGATTATGTGAAATGTTTAGCACCTTTCCTGTAATGAAGTAGAAAGCAAGCTGAAAGAAGACCATGAGTCAGCAGGATTAAGAAAGCAAAATGAATTCATTTTTCCAGCCGGTCAGTCAGTTACAATCATTCCAAAAGCTGTTCCAGGAAGAGCTGATTTCACTGTCATTCACACTGTCATTCTTGTTTCTTTTAGTTAACGTCTTTATAAATGCGCCCCAGTCATATACTTAGGATAGCTAATGCTTTCCTAAGATTTTATACTAGGGTCTTATTCAAATTCAACATCCAATTGGAGGAGTAAAGCTGCTGCCGTCAAAAGAATCTACAAAGGAGATTCAGGGCTGGGGACCTGCAATAGAAATGTTTGCCAAATGGAAATATTTGCCTTTTCTTAAAAAATAAAAAAGAAGAAGAAGTTCTCTCAAAAATTGTGATGTGCCAGGAACCTCTCAGCCTCTCTGGAATCGCAGGTGGCTCTAGTCACTAAGAAGAGCCCAGTGACTGTGGTTGGATTGTGGGTTAACAGGCAAGTACTTAAAAGCTAGCAGGGATAAAGGAACATGTAAAGGAACTGAAGGGCAATACAGGGCAATCAAAAGGCTATTCCACAGTACAATTCGCTGAATTACAATACTGCCTGCTACTGTGAGGTCTGCAGGGGCCACAATTAAATGGACTTACAGTATGTCCCTGATTTCTGAACACTGGGTGGTTTTAGGCTTCCTCTAAACTAATGATAAGCATCCAAAAGGCCACATTTTCACAGCCTTGGATGGCCAAAAAGCTAATCCTTGCTTCCTCACTTCCTAGCTATGTGGCCTTGGGAAAGTTACTCGACGTAAGTCTCCGTCTCCTAATTTTTAACATGGGGTTGCTATGGAAACTGATATGATAGATACATGTAACATGCACAGCGGCCCAGAGGTAGCACCTCTGACGCGCTCAGAAAATGTTGACTATCATTACCATTAAAGTAGAAAGTATACAATTGCCTAAATCCACTTCAGTACTTCTGGAAGGTCTCATTTACTTTTGAGGTATTATTACAATATTTTAATAACAGGGCATGGTTAGCATAAAGCAGTGGCAGCCAAAGCAGCCTAGCCTCCTTATGTATGTTTGTATTCAGTGGCTACCTTGTTCCTTTCCGGAGAGCCCCAGGGGGAGCTCCTGCCTCAGGAGAGTTGCTTCCTGCCCCATTACACTCTCCTCTGTCTCTGCTTGCTAAAGCCTCGGGCGGGGAAGGGCCCTGCCCCGGATACTCGCACCTCTGCGCCTTAACCAAGCGGGAAGGGGACGAAAAGAACGCTTCGCTCCTAGGACAGAGTGCTCCGCGCCGGATGTAGCCTCTGGCTGGAGCTGCTGGTGCGAAAACGACAGGAGAGAGGCGGGGTGGTAAAGACACGCCACCGCTCGGCGGCCGCCCTCCTCGCCGGCAGCTGCGCAGGGACGGCCCCCTAGCGTACGGGGAACAGAAGATGCTGCCGCGGGCCGGGAGCCGGGCGGGAGGGAGGCGACCCGGAGGGGAGGACAGTGGCCTGCTCACCAGCCCCTCCGGACCCAGGGAACCCTCCGGCCGTGCTTGCTGCCCAGAGTACACGGCTCTGGGAGAAAGAGCGCTCCCGGGCTCCCAAGACCACGGCACCCCGGTTCCCCCTCTGCGCACGGGCAGATGCGGGCGGGGAATGGCTGGGCTGGCTAACCGCCGCGGACCCGCGCGCTGCGGCGCCCACCCGCACGGCGTGCACGGGGCCGGAGGCAGCGCGCGGCGCAGATGGCGCTCGCCGGGAGATGGATGCGCCTGAGCCGGCAGTGACGGGCGGCTCAACACAACATCCCCGGGAGAAGCTGTTGCCAGATCCCACCGTTGGGAGCCTGGGCAGGGAAGGGGCTCTTCTGAGTCAGCCTCAAGCCGCGGCGTGCCAGTCCCAACAAGTCCCAGTCCCGCGAGGCCGGGAGGGGCGCCGGGACCCCGGGGACCCGCACCTGTAGGGCCGACAAAGACCCCGGAAAGCCCCCTACCTACTGCTTTCGGGGTCTCTTCCGTCCTCCATCCCTTGTTCCCCGAGTTCTCTCCAGGCCGGAGAGAGTGGAGGTCGGAACGCCCCTGAACTCCGGCGATCCGCGCAGGTGTGAGCGCATCCGAACAAAGCCCACGCCCAGATACGTCCTCGGGGACCGGAACATGCACACGCCGGAGCGCGCTGCCCAGGCACCTGCGCTACTCGCCCCGCCGGCCCTGCGGCTTGACAGCCCGCGCCCTCCGCCTCCCTGCCCGGGAAGCCGCAGTGCCGGGCCCCAGCAGCCTCTCCAGGCCCAGTTGGCCCCAAAGCCACCTCCAGGCAGGGCTTCCCGGAAAGCGGGGGGCACGGATGCACAAGTTGGCCAAGGGCTGGGGAGGTGAAGGGGGCCCGCCGGCGCCGCTGTATCTCAGCCTGGCCCGCACAGGGCTGCGGTCCCCTCCTCCCGCCCGGAGCCGGAGGGGAAGGGAGTTGGCTGCCAGGTTGCCCCTGCGGCAGGGAGACCTGGACGGGCGCTGCGAAGCCAGGGTGTTCCGGTGTCCCGGCGACAACACAGCCGCCCCCCGCGCCCTCCTCCGCTCCAGCCGTCGCCCCCGAGCCGGACCGAGTGTCACCGCCAGCCGCGCGCGCGGAGCTACTCACGTTCTTACGCCGCGCCCACCACTCGGCCCACGCGCAGCTGCCCGCGACCCCGAGCACCGGTGTAGTCCGTCCCCGACGCAGCTGTGGCCACCAGCAGCCCCGCGCCGTCCCCTGCGCCCGCGCGGCTCAGGCTCCGACTGCGGCGCGCGTCAGCCGTCGACCCGAGCGAAGCAGGGCTGGCCCTGCGCCCGCGCGCGCCCCCGCCGCTGCGCCCTCCCCGCGCGCCGCTCTCCCTCCGCCCGCCCCGCCCCTTCCCCTCCGCGCCGCCCCTGCTGCTGCTGCTGCGGCGGCGGCGGCGAATGGGCTCCGAGCGCCCGCGCCTCCGGGGGCTGGGTGGCCCCTCACCTGAGCGGCCGCGCCACCACCAACCACGTCATCCAGCCAGTGCGTGAGGGACGGAGGGCGGGAGCGTGCAGGGAACGAGGGTGGCTGGGGTCTGGAATTTGGCTACAAGAGATGTTCCAGAAAATGGGTGGTTTTGAAATGTCACTCTCGTGGTGCTGGTTTCTGTGTGATGTCTGTGGTCTCCCACCGCTACACCTTCTTTTAAAGCATTTAATTTCGTCGAGACTCACCAGTTGGGATGGTTGAAATTGACGTCTTTTTGTTTTGCTTTTAATTTTTTGGCAACTCTTCTTTCCAGGCAGCCCCCAGAAAGGGAAGCTTCAGCGGTCTATGCGCGGTGGGAGTTGGATCTCTGGTTCCAGAGCACAGGATTAGTTCAGATTTGATTATTTTCAGATTTGGGAGCATTATGGAGAATTATTTGAAATGTAAAAAGAGAGTTAAGATTTTCTAAATGTGTAGTATTTTAGCAAACACACTGGGGCCGCAAGTTTCAGGCTCCGGAGTGAGGTCTGCGCTGTATCCTAGCTCATGTCCAAGATCGTTAGCCTGATAACTCATTCTCAGTCATCTACTCTGGTCTGCAGCCTGACCTTCCAGGGCTTCTTCCCAATCATCAGGCATCACCTGACTTGTTCATTTGACCATTTACTGCAGGCTCCAACTCTCCCTCCCCTCTGCTGGAGCCTTGTTTCCTTCCTTTCTCTAGTTTAATGCAGGAAGACTTTTGTGGAGCCCCGCATCCCCTCTCCTCATCCCCAGGCCTGTGTTAAGGCGGGGTTCAGGAATAAAAAAGGCACAGGGTCATCCTTCAAGGCGCTGACGACTCCTCTGCTCTGCTATGACTTCAGTGTGAACTTGCCACTTCAACCCACAGCTCCATGCATGCCGGGGAGCAGCCTTCTTTTCTTGCTCTTGCAGACGCCATCATCCTCTCCTCCCACCAGTTCCTGAAACAGTATTGGGATCTCTGGCTACTGGGTCTTTGCACAAGTTGTTTCCTCAGTCCCATTACTCTTCTGATCCGGGTCCTCAGCCCACCTCCTGGGTACCTCTCACCTCTCAGTTAATTTTCCAAATCCCCCTCTAAATTATTTTTATTAAAACAAAAAGAAGAATGTGATCATGATACCCTTACTTAAAAGTCTGGTCTGGTTCTCTGTTGCCTGTAAAATGAACTCCAGATCTTCTGGCACATTCCCTCACAATCTGCCGGTAACTTACCTGTCCGTCCTCCAGTGAAAAGAATTTTCATAACTCTATTGTCTCTGCATGTGAGATTTCTCCCATCTAGAATATTCCTCCATCTTTTTTTCATCTGGCAAACTCTTGTTCGTCCCTCGGGGCCTCGCTCAGCTGATACCTCCTCTGTGAAGTCTTTGCCGAGTCTCTGTTTTTTACTGTAAGAGTACTTGCCACATTTGAATGATGTTTCCATGCCTGACTCCACAAAATTTCACTTTTTTTTTTGTTTTTTTGCGGTACGCAGGCCTCTCACTGTTGTGGCCTCTCCCGTTTGCGAAGCACAGGCTCCAGACGCGCAGGCTCAGCGGCCGTGGCTCACGGGCCCAGCCGCTCCGCGGCATGTGGGATCTTCCCGGACCGGGGCACGAACCCGTGTCCCCTGCATCGGCAGGCGGACTCTCAACCACTGCGCCACCAGGGAAGCCCAAAATTTCACTTCTTAATGAGGATCATCTTATTTTTGTGTGACCTCATTTCCCACCAAAAGAAATGGAGCCGCGGGTAATCATAACAACTCCATTCTCACCGCCTCATCATTCCCACCTGTGTAAAGGGCTTCAGACCCCTCCAATCTCTCCTTACCTCAGTAACCGCTAAGAGTCCTGGGTTGTCCTGCATGTCTTTCTGGCCGGTAATCGGGGGGATGGGGGTGGGTGTGGGGGGCAGTGCTCAAGGAATGCAGACATGAAGGAATCTCGGGCAAGGGACAACTTCCCCAGGGACAGTTTTCCTTATCTCTACAAGTGTAATAGCAGTACTTAATACTCAGGGTTATCGTTAGGGTCAGTTCAAAGCACTGCACAGTGTCTAGGACATAATAGGTACTCAGCAAATTCTAGTTTGAAAAGCAATTGCGCGATCAGATGTCTGTCAAGTGAATACATACTTGAATAAAAAGAACAAAGATAGAAGAGGAAAAAAGTTCTGGAGGAAACGGGAACCACAGTGACAGCACCACATATTAAGTAATTTTGATACTGCAAAATACTTGTAACAATATAAAATGATTATATAGTTTTAACTTCCAGTTTATTCAACTGCATTGCAGCTCTGCAGGGAGAACCTAACAGCCGTTACATGAGGAGCTGAAAGGGAGCAAGAGGGGAAAGAGGAATGATCTGGAAAAGGATGAGAAGGATGCCTGAGTGGGCAACAGGACTCTCCATCTGATTTGCTTGGTGATGCATGAGGCATTCTGATTTGGCTGATACCCACAGAGAAAACGCACAACACACCTCCTTACCTTAACTGCCACCCTTTATTCCATTCCTAAGCCTCACCCTGTCCTGTACCCCAAGCTTCACTCCACCTCCAGGTGAGGGCTGAGAATAACGTAGACTGTCCTCCCCACCACTTGCTGATAACAGAAGTCTCCTTGTGCCCTGCACTACTTAAGCACTGTACGTTCATTAACTTAACCAATTCCACGGCCATCCCATGCAGTGTGTACTATTATCCCCGTTTTAGAAAGAGAGGTTAAAAGTAAATTGCAAAGGTCACACAGCTAGTGGCAGAGCTGGGATTCGAGGGTGGGCATTCTAGCTCCAGAGTCCAGAGTCTAAACGACTGCACTCTGCTTCCTTTCAATGAAAGTTACGCTAAAAGTTTGTTTCCATGGATGCATCAGAACGTTTGTACGTTAGAGCAGCTACATGGGCATGTCATGGAGCCCCCCAGTGGTACCTGCGGTGAATAAGCTTTGAGCCTTTCTCCTTCCCCCCCCTTTTGCTGTCCTGTTTCTCTTTTCTCGGAATTCTCCCTCCCCTTTATGCCTCTTCCACTTTTTTTCTTCCCTCACCTTATTTTCTATCCTAGTTTTCTTAATCCCCATCCATGCCTCGGGTCTCCCAGAGGTGGCAGTGCAATTGGCCCTGCCCAAAACCCAACAGTAAGTTCACCAAAACCTAGCATGGACCCGACCCCAGTCCTGAGCTGTGTGTCCACCAGCAGGTTATTTCCCCTCTCAGTCTGTTTCCACACCTGAAATGAAGGAGTTGGGCTAGGTAAGAACAAAAAAAAAAATTAACTGTGTCATTTGATGATTCTGGTGGTAACCAAGCGCATTTCTTAGACTCCTATAGGCTGAATTCTAGGTTAAAAAAGAGTGGAACTCTATAAAAGTGTGCTATAGTAGTATAACGAGGTTGTTCGCCAAGAGTGGCTTATACCAATGTCATCATTGTCTTAATCTACTCTGGTTGGGCAGCATGCATAAGGTTTCTGACGGGGATGTGGTGAACCTAGTAATTTTAAAGCCCTTCTATTTGAAAGAGTATTATCATCGATTATGGTCAAAAAGCATAGATGTCATGGTGGGCAGCTTCTAAGATGGCTCCCAGTGACCGCTCCTCCTGGTGTGTATGTCTATAATCCCCTCTCCTTCAGGGTAGATGGGACCTAGTGACTCACTTCTAACGAATAATATGGCAAAAGTAGCAGGATGTCACTTTTGCTGTTAGGTTACAAAAAGACCCTGGCTGCTTCTTTCTTGCCATCTTTTTCTTTCCCTTGTTTGCTCAGACGAAAGCCAGCTGCCATGTTGGGGGCTGCCCTACAAGAGGTCCACATCCAGGGATCTGAGGGAGGCCGTCAGTCCAACACCTCAGGAAGACCAGAATCCTGCTTCAGCCATCTGAGTGAGCATGGGAGCAGCTCATCCCCCAGGAGAGCCTTGAGATGACCCCAGCCCAGGCTGAGCCGTGACTGCAGCCTTGTGAGAGAGTGGCCCAGTTCGTTCATCTGCCCCTGGCTTCTCAACCCCCAGCAGTTGGGAGATAAGCAATGTTTCTAGCTTTAAGCTTCTAAATTCATCCCGGGTACAGTCAGTGAAGTGCATTTTAGAACTCTGACTTTGCATCTGACCACACACATCTATTTTTGGGATAGGAAAGGGTCAAATGAATTAAACGGTAGCACATAAGATGTGCACACGGTGCCGGGTAAAGAAGGAACTGTGGAAAACAGATGAGACATCAGTGAGTTCTCTGAGGCTAATCTCAGCAGCTCCGATTTCCACACCCCGGAATCACACTTTGCTCCTACAGCCAAGCCTGAGTTGGCCATCCACGGTGCCCACTCAGACCTGCTCCTTTCTGCTCTTAGACACCAGCCACAGTCTCAGCTGGACCACACCTCCTGTGCTTCAGAGTGATGATTACCCACCATGAATAATAATAGGATGTGCCTTTATAGATAATATATAAATAATAGGATGTGTCATTTCATCGATCACCTGACCAGTGAGCAGTGCTAAGTTTCCACGGATGCGAACACACTGAGCGCTGTCATGGCTCTCCTCACCATCTGCCACACGTAACCACAGAACTCTGTGTGCCTGTCTGGTGCCGCTTGGGCATGTGTCAAACAGAACCCAGAAATCTGCAACCCATTCCTTGCCCGGTGCTTAGCAACACGGCATCCCTGCACCTATGTCGAGAATGCAGTGCACAAGCAATGCGAGGAAAATGTGACCTCAGTGGTTGCCATATGTGGATTTCTTCCCTGGAAGCTTGTGAGTCACTAGGGCCTTCTGCTCGGCTCAATCCGCCCCCATTCTTGGGGCACCAAGTCGGGAGAAGGGAGGAACATTTTCAGGGATAATAAGCATGTTTCGTGGCC